GCCTAACAGAAACATTTCTCACTCCTGCCGTCAATGACTTGCAGATTACGATTGACAACTACAACCTTTTTCGGCTTGACCGAGGATCTAAAGGAGGTGGAATTGCCATCTATGTTCGTAATACTATTGCATGTTCACCAGCTCACTGTTTAAAAAATGTTGCTTTGAAGGTTTAGCTCTCAGAATAACTCTCCCAAATAATCAACAGATATTGGTAGTGTGCTGCTGTAGACCACCTAGTGGGAAGGATGTTGAAGCTGCATCTGCACTGAGAGAGCTTTTTGAGGGCCTCCCTAAAGGTGAAAGTTTGTGGGTGATCTAAATTGTAATTGGCTAAACCCGCCGGCCGTGGCCACAAATTTTACAGATGAATTTAACCTGATTCAATTAATAAATGTCCCCACAAGACCCAACCTAAAAAACCGGGACAGTCAACTCTGCTTGACATCCTATTGACAAATGCCCCTCACAATTTCGCACTGACTGGTGTTCTGGGAAATAACCTTAGTGATCACTCCTTCATTTTTGGGGTGAGATCATCAGCCAGACCCAAAGCCCCCCTAAAATTGTTGAGAAGCACTCTTTGAGGCGCTTCAGCACTCAGGCATTTACTAATGATGTGCTTCACTCGGATATTGACAAGGTCTGTGATATCCCCAACCTGACTACGGCTTGGAAGACTTTCAGGTACACGTTTCTCCAAATTCTTAACAAACATGCTCCGTTGGTTAGATTTAAAACTTAAGGCAACCGCCCACCATGGTTTTATCCTTTGATTACAAAGCACATGAAAACTAGGGGCAAGGCTTGGGCATGTGCTCAGAAAAGTAATTTGGTAAATGACTGGCTAGAGTACAGGATTTTAAGGAATAGATGCGTCAAAAAAATACGGGATGCAAAAAATGCCTACTTTTCCTCCACTCTCCTGGAATCACATGGAAATGCCAGGATTTTTTGGAAAACAATCAAATGTATCGAAAAGGCATCCAAAACAGACAATCTGCCCGTTGAGCTAAACCGAAATGGGGAATATTTTTCAGATCCCAAAAAAAATAGTTGACAATTTTAACCTTCATTTTTCTGAAGCTGGTAATCTTTTTGATAATGTATTGGGAGTCACCCCTGCCCATGCAAATTCCTACACCCCTGTCCAAACATTAAACGAATTTAGTTTCCAGCCAATCCACGAAAGTAATGTTCTGAAACAGCTGGCCTACCTCAAAGGGTCCTCCTCTACCGGAGCAGATAGTTTTCCCGTCTTTGCTATAACTGTTGGTCACCTAATATACAAAACCTATAGCCCATATTTTCAACCTGTCCATCAAAGAAGCATCAGTTCCTCTAGAATGGAAACATTCCTATGTCTGTCCACTTCACAAAGGGGGCCCTAAAGATGATCCCAATAACTACCGACCTATCTCAATTGTGTCCCCATTGATGAAAATTTTTGAAAAATTATTGAACTACCAAATTAGCAGTTTCCTGTCCACCAACAATCTACTACATCTAAAACAATCTGGGTTCCGAAAAAAAATACAGCACCACATCTGCTGCATTAGACTATCTGAATCAAATTTACAGTATCCTTGATAATAAGCAGTACTGTGCCTGTCTTTTTCTTGACCTGTCCAAAGCTTTTGATACAGTAGACCACAACACCCTGCTTGGTAAACTAAGTTGCCTCGGTTTTTCCAAAAACACAGTAAAATGGTTAAAAATTACCACTTTTCTCGCACCCAAACTGTATTCACAGAAGGTTGGAGGTCAAACAGTGTTAAGATAACAAAAGGGGTTCCACAGGGTTCCATCCACGGCCCCCTCTTGTTCTCTCTTTATGTCAATGACTTGGGCACTGACCTGGATCATTCCAGGGTAAATCTTACTACCACCCCCATAATAACCACCAACCCCATCACCACCACCACCCCCATCACCACCCTTATCACCATCCCAGTCACCATCCTCATCATCACCACCATCACCACCCTCATGACCATCACCACCCGCATCACCACCACCATCATCACCACCACCCCGACCACCACCCGAATCACCACCATCACCAATACCACCACCATCATCATCATCACTGTCACCACCATCACCCCCATTATCACCACCACCCCCATGACCACCTTAGTCACCACCACCATCACCCCCATTATCACCCCCACCCCCATCACCACCCCCATCACCCCCACCATCAACACCACCACCCCCACCACCATCAACACCATCACCCCCATCATCACCATCACCCCCATCATCACCATCACCCCCATCATCACCACCAAACCCATCACCACCACCCCCATCATCACCACCACCACCATCATCACCACCACCATCACCATCACCCCCATCATCACCACCACCCCCATCATCACCACCACCCCCATCATTACCACCACCACCATCATCACCACCACCATCATCATCACCACCACCCCCATCATCACTACCACCACCATCATCACCATCAGCAAAACCCCCATCATCACCATAACCCCCATCATCACCACCACCCCCATCATCACCACCACCATCACCACCACCACCACCATCACCACCACCACCCCCATCACCACCATCATCATCACCACCATCACCACCACCATCACCATCACCACCACCACCATCAACACCATCACCATCACCACCCCCATCATCATCACCACCCCCATCACCGCCTCTTACCTGAGCCTTCAGACTCCGCTCACATTGGCGATTTTAAAAACGAGTTTGAAATATTTTTTTTAAACCCCGCACGCAACAAACAAAAAAACAATCGAATTATAAATTAAAAATTCCCCTCAAACTAAAACACGAATTTAAATGCGAGCATTATTGTCGCGTTATAGCGACGGATCGGCGAGCGGCTCAGGCCTGAGGCGCTAGGCCCCGGGCTTCTGCTCGCCTAGACGAGGCCTGCGCTAGGCCGCCGCGCCCCACTACTTCTTGATGATTAATTTATTTATTTTTGCGACCTCTTAATTAAAACCATTTCAGGACCTCCCCCCCATCACCACCATCAACACCCCCACCCCCATCACCACCACCATCCCCACCACCATCACCACCAACATCACCACCCCCATTATCACCCCCATCACCACCAACATCACCACCCCCATCACCATCAACATTACCACCCCCATTATCACCCCCATCACCATCACCACCAACATCACCACCCCCATTATCACCCCCATCACCACCCTCATCACCACCACCATCACCACCCCCATCACCACTAACATCACCACCCCCATCACCCCTATTATCACCCCCATCACCACCCTCATCACCACCCCCAACACCACCCCCATCACCACCCCAGTCAGTCCCCACCATGACCACCCCTACCACCATCACCACCCCCATCACCATCCCCAACACCCCCACCACCATCACCACCCCCACCACCATCACCACCCCCAACACCATCCCCATCACCACCCCCAACACCACCCCCATCACCATCACCACCCCCATTACCCCTATTATCAACCGTATTATCACCCCCAATCACCACCCTCATCACCATCTCCCCCATCACCACGATCACCCCCATCACTACAACCACCCCCATCACCATCACCCCCATCACCATCAGGCCCATAACCACCCCAATCACAGTCCCCACCATCACCACCCCCACCACCACCTTATTATCACCCCCATCACCACCCTCATCACCATCATCACCACCACCAACATCACCACCAACATCACCCCTATTATCACCCCCATCACCACCCTCATCTCCACCCTCATCACCACCACCATCACCACCACCATCACCACCAACATCACCACCCCCATCACCCCTATGATCACCCCTATTATCACCCCCATCACCACCCTCATCACCACCATCACCACCACCATCACCCCTATTATCACCCCCATCACCACCCCCATCACCCTCATCACCACCCTCATCACCACCACCATCACCACCATCACCACCCCCATCACCCCTATTACCCCCATTACCACCCTCATCACCACCACCATCACCCCTATTACCCCCATCACCACCATCATCATCACCACCATTATCACCCCCCTCATCACCACCACCACCTCCACCCCTATCAAAACCATCATCACCCCATCACCACCCTCATTACCATCACCACCACCATCTCCACCCCCATCATCACCAAAATTATCACCCCCCTCATCACCACCACCATCTCCACCCCTATCATCACCACCATCATCACCCCCATCATCACCCCCATCATCACCCCATCACCACCCTCATCACCACCACCATCTCCACCCCCATTATCACCAACCCCATCATCACCAACCCCACCATCACCAACCCCATCATCACCAACCCCATCATCACCAACCCCATCATCACCAACCCCATCATCACCACCCTCATCACCATCACCACCATCACCATTACCACCCCCATCACCATCTCCACCCCTATCATCACCCCATTACCACCCCCATCTCCACCCCCATCACCACCACCATCTCCACCCCTATCATCACCACCATCATCACCCCACCACCATTACCACCCCCATCACCATTACCTCCCCCATCACCATCTCCACCCCTATCATCACCACCAACATCACCCCATCACCATCACCCCCATCACCACCCCATCACCACCACCCCATCTCCACTCCTATCACCATCATCATCACCATCTCCACCCCTATCACCACCCCCACCATCACCCCATCACCACCATCATCACCCACCACCCCCATCACCACCATCACCACCCCATCACCACCATCTCCACCCCTATCACCATCACCACCATCATCACCATCTCCACCCCTATCACCACCCCCATCACCACCACCATCACCACCATCATCACCACCACCCCCATCACCATCATCACCATCTCCACCCCTATCACCATCACCACCACCACCACCCCCATCACCATCATCACCATCTCCACCCCTATCACCATCACCACCACCCCCATCACCACCCCCATCACCGCCTCTCACCTGAGCCTTCAGACTCCGCTCATCTTGGCGATTTTAAAACCGAGGGAGTGTAAAAAAAAATAAACCCCGCACGCAACAAACTAAAAAAGAGAATCGAATTGTGAATTACAAATTCTCAAACTAAAACACCAGTTTAAATGCGAGCATTATTGTCGCGTTATAGCGACGGATCGGCGCGCGGCTCAGGCCTGAGGCGCTAGGCCTCAGGCTTCTGCTCGCCTAGACGAGGCCTGCGCTAGGCCGCCGCGCCCCACGCCTTCTTGATGGTTAATTTATTTATTTTTTTACAACTTCTTCATTAAAACCATTTCAGGACACGAACAATGTTTTAACCCCGAGCTCGATTACAAAAAAAATTCTCAAACTCCTAGCGAGGCAACTCTGTGCTTCGCCGCCCGTACAGTCGGCATCGAAAATAACCTCAACAACGTCTGAGTGATGCTCCCTCACACCACAACAACAGCAGCACCTCATGAAACTGTGGAGGTGGTGGGGAGGGGTGATGGAGGTGGTGGGGGTGGTGATGGTGGTGATGGGGGTGGTGATGATCGAGATGGTGGTGATGATGGTGGTGTTGATGATGACGGTGGTGATGGTGGTGGTGTTGATGGTGGTGGTGATGTTGATGATGGTGGTAGTGGTGTTGATGATGATGGTGGTGATGGTGGTGGTGTTGATGGTGGTGGTGTTGATGATGGTGTTGATGATGATGGTGGTGGTGGTGGTGATGATGGTGGTGGTGGTGGTGATGATCGAGATGGTGGTGATGATGATGGTGGTGGTGGTGATAGTGGTGTTAATAATGATGGTGGTGTTAATAATGATGGTGGTGTTGATGATGGTGGTGTTAATAATGATGGTGGTGTTGATGATGGTGGTGTTGATGGTGGTGGTGATGGTGTTGATGATGGTGGTGTTGATGATGATGGTGGTGTTGATGATGATGGTGGTGGTGATGATGGTGGTGGTGACGATCATGATGGTGGTGTTGATGATAGTGGTGGTGGTGATGGTGGTGGTGGTGATGATGGTGGTGGTGACGATCATGATGGTGGTGTTGATGATAGTGGTGGTGGTGATGGTGATGATGATGGTGGTGTTGATGGTGTTGGTGGTGGTGATGGTGGTGGTGTTGATGGTGGTGTTGATGGTGGTGGTGTTGATGGTGGTGGTGGTGTTGATGATGGTGGTGTTGATGATGGTGGTGATGTTGGTGGTGGTGATGATCATGATGGTGGTGTTGATGATGGTGTTGATGATGATGATGGTGGTGGTGATGTTGGTGGTGATGATGTTGGTGATGATGATGGTGATGATGATTATGGTGGTGATGGAGGTGGGGGTGATGGAGGTGATAATGGTGGTTGTGATAATGTTCATGTTGATGATGATGCTGGTGGTGCTGGTGGCAATAATGGTGATGATAGTGGTGGTGATGATGGTTGGGGTGATGGTGATGATGGTGGTGGTGGTGGTGGTGATGATGGTGGTGGTGCTGATGATGGCGGTGGTGCTGATAATGGTGGTGATGGTGGTGGTGCTGATAATGGTGGTGGTGACGATAGTGGTGGTGAAAATGATGATGATGGTGATGATGATTATGGTGGTGATGGAGGTGGGGGTGATGGAGGTGATAATGGTGGTTGTGATAATGTTGATGTTGGTGATGATGCTGGTGGTGCTGGTGGTAATAATGGTGAAGATAGTGGTGGTGATGATGGTTGGGGTGATGGTGGTGGTGATGGTGGTGGTGATGGTGGTGGTGATGATAGTGGTGGTGATAGTTGTGATGGTGATGATGGTGATGGTGGTGGTGATGATGGTGATGATCATTATGATGGTGATGATGATCGTGGTGGTGGTGGTGATGGTGGTTGGGGTGATGGTGGAGGTGATAGTCATGATTGTGGAGGTGATAGTGATGATGGTGGTAGTGGTGGTCTTAAAAATGATAGTGTTGCTGATGGTGATATGGTGGTGGTGATGGAGGTGGTGGTGATGGAGGTGGTGATGATGGTGATGATGGAGGTGGTGATGATGGTGGTGACAGTGACGATGGAGGTGGTGATGGTGGTGATGGTGGTGATGATGAAGGTGGTGGTGATGATGGAGGTGGTGTTGATGATGGTGATGGTAGTGATGATGATGGTGATGATAGTGATGGTTGTGATGATGGTGGTAATGATGGAGGTGGTGGTGATGATGGTGATGGTGGTGGTCGTGACGATGGTGGTGGTGGTGATGATGGTGATAGTTGTGATGATGGTGGTGATGGTGATGATGATGGTCGTGATGATTGTGATGGTCGTGACGATGGAGGTCATGTTGATGATGGTCGTGATGATGGAGGTGGTGGTGGTGGTGATTGTTGTGGTGGTGATGGTGGTGGTGATTGTTGTGGTGGTGATGGTAGTGGTGATCGTGGTGGTGATGATGGTCGTGGTGGTGATGATGGTCGTGGTGGTGACGATGGAGGGGATGATGGAGATGCTGATGATGAAGTTGGTGGAGGTCATGGCGGTGAGCAGTCTTCTGGGTGAGGATGCAGAGATAAACTCACCTTGAGTGAAAATCCAGGCCAGACTACCGCTGCTACTGTTGTTGATGATGGTGGTGGTGATGATGGTGGCGGTGATGACGGTGGCGGTGGTGGTGATGCAGATGCTGATGATGGACATGCTGGTGGTGGTGATGTTGGTGGTGGTGATGTTGGTGGTGATGGTGGTGATGAGCAGTCTTCTGGGTGAGGATGCAGAGATAGCCTCACCTTGAATGAGAATCTAGGCCAGACTACCGCTGTTACTGTTGATGACGATGGTGGTGGTGGTGATGATGATAGAGGTGGTAATGGAGTTCATGGTGATGGTGGTGATGTTGGTGGTGGTGGTGATGGTGGTGATGAGCAGTCTTCTGGGTGAGGATGCAGAGATAGCCTCACCTTGAATGAGAATCTAGGCCAGACTACCGCTGTTACTGTTGATGACGATGGTGGTGGTGGTGGTGATGATGATAAGAGGTGGTAATGGAGTTCATGGTGATGGTGGTGATGTTGGTGTTGGTGGTGATGGTGGTGATGAGCAGTCTTCTGGGTGAGGATGCAGAGATAGCCTCACCTTGAATGAGAATCTAGGCCAGACTACCGCTGTTACTGTTGATGACGATGGTGGTGGTGATGATGATAAGAGGTGGTAATGGAGTTCATGGTGATGGTGGTGGTGATGTTGGTGGTGGTGGTGATGGTGGTGATGAGCAGTCTTCTGGGTGAGGATGCAGAGATAGCCTCACCTTGAGTGAGAATCCAAGGCCAGACTACCGCTGTCACTGTTGTTGCTGAGGCCAAGAGAGTCGAGGCGAGCAGACAGAGAGCAGCAGGAGCAGCAGAGAGGGAGCAGCAGAGAGAGGGCGAGGGAGAGCGGGCGAGCTGCTGCCGTGACAGAAGCAGCAGGGAGATGAAGGAGGAGATGGAGGAGGAGCTGAGTTGTCAGCGTCACGGTGGAACCTCCTCCTCCTCGTCTTCTCTCTCTCTGTCTCCTGGCTCTCTCTGAGTCTCTCTCTCTCTGAGTCTCTGTTTGTCTCCTGGCTCTGTCTGAGTCTCTGTCTCCTGGCTCTCTCTGAGTCTCTCTCTGAGTCTCTGTTTGTCTCCTGGCTCTGTCTGAGTCTCCGTCTCCTGGCTCTCTCTGAGTCTCTGTCTGTCTCCTGGCTCTCTGAGTCTCTGTCTGTCTCCTGGCTCTGTATGAGTCTCTGTCTCCTGGCTCTGTCTGAGTCTCTGTCTCCTGGCTCTCTGAGTCTCTGTCTCCTGGCTCTGTCTGAGTCTCTGTCTGTCTCTGTCTCCTGGCTCTCTGAGTCTCTGTCTGTCTCCTGGCTCTCTGAGTCTCTCTCTGAGTCTCTGTCTCCTGGCTCTCTGAGTCTCTGTCTGTCTCCTGGCTCTGTCTGAGTCTCTGTCTCCTAGCTCTCTGAGTCTCTGTCTGTCTCCTGGCTCTCTGAGTCTCTGTCTGTCTCCTGGCTCTCTGAGTCTTTGTCTCCTGGCTCTCTGAGTCTCTGTCTGTCTCTGCGTCTCTCACTGTCTCCTGGCTCTCTGAGTCTCTGTCTCCTGGCTCTCTGAGTCTCTCTCACTGTCTCCTGGCTCTCTGAGTCTCTGAGTCTCTGTCTCCTGGCTCTCTGAGTCTCTGTCTCCTGGCTTTCTGAATCTCTGTCTCCTGGCTCTCTTAGTCTCTGTCTCACTGTCTCCTGGCTCTCTGAGTCTCTGTCTGTCTCCTGGCTCTCTGAGTCTCTGTCTCCTGGCTCTCTGAGTCTCTGTCTGTCTCTGTCTGTCTCTGCCTCCTGGCTCTCTGAGTCTCTGTCTGTCTCTGTCTCCTGGCTCTCTGAGTCTCTCTCACTGTCTCCTGGCTCTCTGAGTCACTGTCTCCTGGCTCTCTGAGTCTCTCTCACTGTCTCCTGGCTCTCTGAGTCTCTGTCTGTCTCTGTATCCTGGTTCACTGAGTATCTCTCTGAGTCTCTGTCTGTCTCCTGGCTCTCTGTCTCTGTCTCCTGGTTCACTGAGTCTCACTCTGAGGCTCTTTCTGTCTCTATCTGTCTCCTGGCTCTCTGAGTCTCTCTCACTGTCTCCTGGCTCTCTGAGTCTCTCTCACTGTCTCCTGGCTCTCTGATTCTCTCTCACTGTCTCCTGGCTCTCTGAGTCTCTCTCACTGTATCTTGGCTCTCTGAGTCTCTCTCACTGTCTCCTGGCTCTCTGAGTCTCTGTCTGTCTCTGAGTCTCACTCTCTCCTGGCTCTCTGAGTGTCTCTCTGTCTCTGTCTCCTTGCTCTCTGAGTCTCTCTCTGAGTCTCTGTCTGTCTCCTGGCTCTCTGAGTCTCTTTCTGTCTCTGTATCCTGGTTGACTGAGTATATCTGAGTCTCTCTCCGTCTTCTGGCTCTCTGTCTCTGTCTCCTGGTTCACTGAGTCTCACTCTGAGGCTCTTTCTGTCTCTATCTGTCTCCTGGCTCTCTTGAGTCTTTCTCTGAGTCTTTCACTGTCTCTCAATGTCTCTCTCTCCTGGCTCACTGAGCCTCTCTCTGTCTTTATCTGTATCGGTCTGTGTCCTGGCAGTCTGAGTCTCTCCCTGGGGTTCTCCCTGTTTCTCTCTGTCTCTGTCTCCGGACTGAGTATCTCTCTCATTGTCTCCGTGTCTCCTCCATCTCTCTCTCGCTCTCTCCTCTCTCTCTCAATGTCTCCTCCTCCTGCCCGAGTCTCTCTCTCTCACTGTCTCCGTGTCTCCTCCTCTCTCTCTCTCTCTCGCCCGTCTCCTTCTCCTCCCTGAGTCTCCCTCCTCCCTCCCTCTCTCCGGGTCTCCTCTCTCTCTCTCTCCCTCTCGCTCACTCTGTCTCCTCCATTCCTCTCTCTCTCACTGTCTCCTCTCTTTATCTCTCCCTCTGTGTGACTCCCGCCCTCTCGCCCACCCGGTCTCCTCCATTTCTCTGTTGCTCTCTGTCTTCTGTCTGTCACTGTCTCCTCTCTGAATCTCCCTGATTATCC